TCTAGCTATGACTTTGCTGTTGTTTCTGCATCCATAAAATGAAAAGTAATTTTTCAAGATTGTGAAGGTTGAGATAATATATGTATAAAGTGTTTAGTACATTCCTGGCACATAGAGATATGGTATTATTAGACATAATTTTAAAAATTATATATAGAAATCCTTTTAATGGCAAATAATCTGTTTATTGGCAATCAGTTCTTCATAGGAAAATACCACATAACTTACTTTTCTTCTCATTTTCAGTGACTGTTATATGGTAGGAACTCAGTAAACATTTGTATTCTGAGGAACTTCCAAACCTCTATGGAGAAACTTTCAAAGAAAGCAACCATTAGAATGTTTTTGTTTTTTAATCCTGATTAAAATCCAAAATGCACAACTAATGGACACAAGAATATACAGGAAAAGAAATGAGGCCAAAATTTGTATTTGTTCATGAAAGATCTAATTTGTTTTAAAAAATGTATTATGCTGCTCTCCCATATTGTTCAAAAAGAATATGAGTATTTCAGAAATTTGCAGCTAGAGGGAAGAATTTTTTAAAAAACTATTGATTTGTCTTTTCTTCCAAGAAAAGTATGTTCAAAGTTAAAAAAAAAAATCAGAAAATGCAGATGTGCCAACAGAAGTTCCCTGTAATTCCATCATGAATATGATAAGCACTATTTACCTGTGAATCTGGGCCGCTGATTCTAGTTCAAGCTCTGCCAGGATTAGAACAAAGCAGGCAACAGAGGATCATGCTGTAAAGATACAGGCAGCCCTGCCTCAGGGTGCGTGAACAAATAATGAAAAGAGAAATTTCCTGAGCAGCTAACAAGTCATTATCACAAAACTTAGGGGTTTTAGTCCACACCTCCCTACCTGATATAAATGCTTATATCTGAGGAAAACATGAGTCTGAAATCTCTAGGGATAACCTACTGCTCTGGCAGAATTCCACAATCAGCTATATGAAAATGAAACAAGAACATCTGGTCTAAATTTGTTTTAAAGTCCATGAGGTTTTACATACAAAGTAAGTTTGGCAAAATGTAGTCTTAGGTTTGTGGGATCTACAATTAAAAAAAAAAAAATTAAGAGGCCAAGAGGTTCAGCAGAGCATGGGTCAAAGTGGGAGCTAACTTTATAAAGCTAAGTAGCCCAGGTATGCTCTTTAAATTTTTTTTCCCCCGAGTTTTCTGGTTTTCCAACACTTTAGCAAAGGCATATAATTCCAAGTATAATTTACCAATTTATGTGTTTGAGTTTCTGTACATTGAGATCTGACCAAGTAGTAAACTAAATACACAAACACATACACACAAGTATATACAATATATAACTATATAGACACACACATACATAAGTAAATTATATACATAATTCATGAAAATCATTTCAGGACTTTTTCAAAATCCCTAATAATACTAATAACATTAGTATGTTATCTCCAACATAGGGAGCACAGCAAGACCTAACACATAGGCCCCCCCCAACATCCTGGTTTTTCTTGGGCCTCTTCATGGGATATACTTTGGAGAATACTAGACTCTTAAATTTGAATGAGATACAAAAGTCTGGGATTCAGATGACTCTTTCTACCTGCAATCTCTTACTGTTCATTCAAGGATCCATTCAACAATCATTAAAACATCTGCTATGTGCTTCATTCAGTCTTGACACTCCTCAGTTTGCATATATCTGCACAATCTAATCCCACACTTAAATCTACACTTTTCTTATATGTAAAAGAAAACTCAAACCAAAGCCTAGCACTCAACAGCAGTTTGTGCTATTGCAAATATTTTTATGTTTTTTTTCTTCCCTGGTTCGAATGGACTTCAAAGACAGAGGTTGTTTTTACTTCCTTGATCCTCTTATTGTTTATAAACCCATGTAAACCCAGTGGCATTACATAGCTACTGTGACTTATGAAGATGACAGGGTTGTACCTATCTCATCTAGGCCAAGGGGAACTGCAGAGATGGGTGAGAGAGAAGAGAGTGTTTTGGGGAATCTTACCCATTCCTATTTTCCTGCCATTATGTTTGTCCTGTGGAGCAGAACCCCAGAGCAAACATCCACACCACTCTTCAGCTCCATACCACACTCTAACCAAAGTGAGGGGGTTTGTTTACCTTCCTCCTCTAATTATACCCTTGGTGAGAAAATGAGAACAAAGTGTAGGCTGATCACAGAGTCTTTCCCTCCACAACCATGCTGGGCATCAGAATGTCCTATAGAGCTGCCAAATCCCAGCAGAAATCTTGCACAGATGACAGAGAAGAAGGTGCACCTCAGGTCACTGAAGCCCACTACCAACCAACAGAGGCCAAGGGAAACAGGCTCACCTGGGGCATCATAATGCCTTTCTACACAGAGATGATGCACAAAGCATCTGCCTAGCCATTATCCTTACACACTGTGTAGCCAGGGAGAGGCCAGGTTGGCTCTTTGTTGATTCCAACTCTTCTTCCTCTGTAAGCATTCTCTTCATTAAATCCTCTCCAAATAACCCTTTTGAGGGCACCATATGCTTCCTGCCAGGACCCTGACCAAAATAACAGGGACCAGGCAAGAGGTTTTCTTGATGTGAACTGTTACACTTAAGATGACTTTAGAAAAGGGAGTTGCTAAAAATAATTTAAAACTTTGGAGACAGATTAATAATGTCCAGTTCAAGGTTTGGGTTATAGCTCAGTGGTTAAATGAACCCATATCCTGGGTTTGATGATGATGAGAAGGAGGAGGAAAAGGAGGTGGTCATCAGATTGAGGCTAGGTGTGGTGAGCCGCTTCTGCCGTTTCTGCAGACTATGGTCGCCATTACAAGATGGCGCTGGCTCCGCTGTGGTCTGTGACAAACAACTCCTTATTTGGGAGAGTTGGCACATGATTTTTCACCACCCTATGAGAAAGCTCCACGTGGCAGCTTTGCATTGGGGCTTGAGATGCTTTATTAAGGCTGAGAGGGGCATCCGGGGAGGAGAAGAAGAAATATCAAAGGCCTGAATAAACTGCTGAAAGAAGATTCCTGAGTTGCGTCTTCCTTGCGGGCAA